CACCCTTCGCAGAGGGTGCGCAGCAGCCCTGTGTCCCCAGCACACGAACACCACGCTTTGCCCACAGGAGGGGAAATAAAGCTTCAGAGTTATTTTCAGGCACAGAGCAAAGCCCCAGGGTGACATCGTGCCCCAGATGCCCCCCCGAAGCACCCTGTGAGTCACGCTGCCCTTCCAGCCCCGAGCAGGCTTCCTCTGCCAGAGCAGAAGGGGATGTGGGCTCGCCCGCAGTCCCACCCCATAGCCCTCCCGGAGAGGCACAGGAAATGGCAGAGATCCTCTTGGTCCACCTCTGCCAGCAAAAACAAAGCTGCGGGTGCCCAGTGAGGCAGGGGACAGGAGGAACTCCCACATCACTGCCAGACCCCAGCTGCCCCATGGGGACCCTTAGCAGAGGTATGATACGGGGACACACCCCACCCCATCCACCCCCCAGCACCGTCCTGGGAGTGGGAAGATGGCAGAGGGCTGAATGGCTGCTCCAGAGGTAGCAACACACCAGTCACAGCCCCCCCACACCCAGCACAGGCTGCCAGCAAAGGCTGGCTGAAGGACCCTCAAGAGGAGCGGGCAGGGTCCGGGCAGCACCTACTCACTGCTCCTAAGCTCTCACCCACAGTGGGACTCCAGCCTCACCTGCAGCCCCATCACCTGCCTCTTCTCCCCTGGGAGCAGGGGGAGGATGAGGAGGGGCTTTATTAGGGAATGCCCCACAGGTGCTGCTCAGCTGGAGGTGGTGGTGTCCCTCACCTGGCATCATTAAGAGTAGGGGCAAAAATCAAACCCGGATTGGTTTCACCAGCAGCTTCACCCTCCTTGTGCAAGACCAGGACAGCCCTGAACTGGCAGGGTCCAGGAGCCTGCGTTGAGCGGGGTTTATGGCCTGATAGGGAGCAAAGAGTACACGCACAGAAAGTGCAGTAAACAGAGAGATAAAGAGGTGCAGAAGGGAGCGTGAGCTCCCTGCATCCCCCCAACAGGTCTCCTCGCTGCTGCCTGTCCCTGCGGACGGTGGCTCTGATAACGCCTGGGGAGCAGGGGAAAGGGGAGGCTGATAAGTGAGCAGTCCTGGGGACAAACATGGCACCGACAAAGGATGGTCCCGGCAGTTCAGGGTTAAAGCCCTCATAGGCACCACAACAAAGGTTTGCTTTTTGACGCCGGGGTAGCCAACACGAGCCTGGTTTTGGGGGGGAGCTCTGAGTTTTGATGACTCTGACCCCAAGGCTGCAGCCACCGTCACAAGCCCTTGGCTCAGGCTGCGCTTTTAGCAAGGTCAGGCAGGAGATTTACAACCCCAAAGCCGTTGCTTTCCCTCCCTCTTTATTATTTTCCTCCAGAGCCTGTCCTGCTGTGGCTGGCTCATTAGAGACCCTGTGGAGAGAAAGCACCACACAACCCCTGATATTTTGGAGGGTCGAACGCCCGCTACCCAAGTAGCTGTGTTCATTGGCGGGCAGCATGGCAGCATGGCAGCACGCCCCTCGCTAGCAGCAATTGCTCCATATCCCTGTCTAGCCAAAATGGGTTTGTGGTGCCCGTTCCCATGTTCATAGAACACATCCTAGAGAGCCGCAGTCGCCCCCCC